TGCCGATGCAGGGGACACAGCTTCGTGCCCCGGCCCGGGAAGATCCCACATGCTGCGGAGCGGCTGGGCTCATGAGCCATGGCCACTGAGCGTGCGCATCTGGAGCCTGTGCTCTGCAACGGGAGAGGCCACAACAGTGAGAGGCCCGCATACCACAAAAAAAAAAAAAAAAGGGCAGAAGGTCTAAATAGACATTTCTCCATAGAAGACATACAGATGGCCAAGAGGCACATGAAAAGATGCTCAACATCACTAATTATTAGAAAAATGCAAATCAAAACTACAACGAGAGGTGTGAGTACATCCTCACACCAGTCAGAATGGCCATCATCAAAAAGTCTATAAACAAAAAATGCTGGAGAGGGTGTGGAGAAAAAAGAACCCTCCTACACTGTTGGTGGGAATGTAAATCAGTACAGACACTATGGAGAACAGTATGGAGGTTCCTTAAGAAACTAAAAATAGAGCTACCATATGATCCAGCAATCCCACTCCTGGGCATATATCTGGAGAAAACCATAATTCAAAAAGATACACGCACCCCAATGTTCTTTGCAGCACTATTTACAATAGCTAAGGCATGAAAGTAACCTAAATGTCCATCTACAGATAAATGGATAAAGAAGATGTGGTACATATATACAATGGAACATTACTCAGCCATAAAAAAAGAATGAAATAATGTCATTTGCAGCAACATGGATGGATCTAGAGATTATCATACTAAGTGAAGTAAGTCACACAGAGAATCTAAAAAATGAATTTAAATTGAATCTAAAAAAATGATAGAAATGAACTTATTTACAAAACAGAAACAAACTCACAGACTTAGAAAACAAACTTATGGTTACCAAAGGGGAAAGGTGGGGGGGGGGGGATAAATTAGGAAGTTGAGATTAACATATACACACTACAATATATAAAATAATCAACAAGAACCTATTGTATAGCACTCAATTAGCACTCAATACTCTGTAACAACCTATATAGGAAACAATCTTTGAAAGAATAGATATATGTATAACTAAATCACTTTGCTATACACCTGAAACTAATACAACATTGTAAATCAATCATACTCCAATATAAAATAAAAATTAAAAAAAAGCAAACTACAATGTCTTTGTTGAGAAATACACTGGGTCATTAATTACCAAGTTTTACTAAAAATCAGCCAATAACTCAATTAATAATTTGGCATTAACAAACAGATTAGACATTTCAGAAGATCAGTGAATTTGAAGACAGAGCAAAATGAAATATATAACCTGAACACAGAAAAAAGAATGAAAAAAATTAAAATGAGATATGGGATAACATCAAGCAGACATATATATATGAGTATATATATATATTTGGAATATATATATTTTTGGAATCCTATATATATATATTTGGAATCCCTGATAGAGTATAATGAAGGAAGACAAAGTTTTTTAAGGAAAAAAACGGTTGAATAATTTCCCAATTTGATTAAAACTATAGATCCAAGAAGATCAAGAAACCTAAATACAAGAAATGTAGGGGCTTCCCTGGTGGTGCAGTGGTTGAGAATCTGCTTGCTAATGCAGGGGACACGGGTTCGAGCCCCAGTCTGGGAGGATTCCCACATGCCACAGAGCAACTAGGCCCATGAGCCACAACTACTGAGCCTGCACGTCTGGAGCCTGTGCTCCGCAACAAGAGAGGCCGCGATAGTGAGAGGCCCACGCACCACGATGAAGAGTGGCCCCCACTTGCCACAACTAGAGAAAGCCCTTGCACAGAAACAAAGACCCAACACAGCAAAAATAAATAAATTAATAAACTTCTACCCCCAACATCTTAAAAAAAAAAAAAAGAAATGTAAAGAAAACTACATCAAGGAATATCATAATGAAGCTGCTGAAAAACAGTGATAAAAAGAAAATATTAAAATCAGCCAAAGAAAAGAAAGACATATATTAAAGAACAAAAATTAAAATGATAGCAGATTTCTCATTGGAAACACAGTGGAGCAGCAATTGTAAAATAAAGGAAAAAACTATTAACTTGGAATTCTTTATCCAGGGAAAATATCATTCAAAAATGAAAGCAAAATAAAGACTTTTTCAGACTGATAAGTCTGAAAAATTCATAAGCAACAGATCTACCAGAAAAAAATGTTAAAGGAAGTTCCATTTAAAGGAATGTTAAAGGAAGTAAAAGGAAAAATGACTCCAGATGGAAATATGGATCTACACAAGGGAATGAAAAACAATGAAAATAATAATTATGTGGGTAAATATAAAGATTTTTAATTATTTAAATCTCTTTATAAGATAACTGATTATTTAAGGTGTAAATGATAACAGTATACTGTGGGGTTGATAAGGTATATGGAAATAAATGTATGACAACAATAGCACAAAGGTGAGAAGGGAAAAAATGGAAGTATACTATTTTAAGAGTCTTACACTTATGTGAAATGGTGGAATAGTACTTGAAGTTACACGGTGATAGTTTAAGATGTACAGTATAAGCACTAAAGCAATCATTCAAATAATGAGAGTTACTGCTAATAAGTCAATAAAAGAGGTAAAACTGAATCATAAAAAGTTCAGTTGCACCAAAAGAAGGCATAAAAAAAAGAAAAAAGGAACAAAGTATAGATGGGACAAATAGAAAACAAATAGCAAGATGGAAGACTTAAACCCAACCATATCAATAATAACATTAAATGTAACTGAAACCCAACAATATATAGAACAGGATAAGGCATCCTGATGAATGAGTACAATCTATTCTGGGAATGCAAGGATGCAAGGCTGTTTTGCCCTTTGAAATTCAAAGTCTCTCACCATATTGAGAAACCTAAAAAAGGAAAACCAAATAACCATCTCAATATATCCAGAAAAAGCACTCGATAAAATCAAATATCCGTTCTTAATAAAAACTCTCAGCAAGCTAAGAACATAAGGAATCTCACTCAATTTGATAAAGGACTTATGCAAAAATTATGGTTAACATCACGCTTAAAGGTGAAAGATCAGAAACAAAGCAAGGATGTCCACTCTAGTCACTTCCAATTAAAATTGTACTTTAGGTTCTAGCCAGTGTAATAGTTAAGAAAAAGAAATAAAAGGCATCCAGCTTGGAAAGGAAGATATAAAACAGCATGACTGTCTATGTAGAAAATCTGATAGAATCTACCAAAGAGCTATTAGAACTAATATATGAGTTTAGTAAGGTTGCAACATATAAGGTCCATATAAAAAATCGACTGTATTTCTATATACTAATGCAAAAATCAGATGTTGAAATTAAAAATAATACTATTTATAACATCTTAGTGATAAATCTGACAAAAGACATGAGACTTCTACACTGAAAACTCTAATACATTGCAGAGAAAAATTAGAGTCAATATTAAAATTTCGATTACCCCCAAATTGACCTATATATTCTACATAATTCCATCAGATTTTTTGTTTTTTAAGAAATTGACAAGGTGATTCTAAAATTCACATGAAAAACAAAGGACTTTAGAATAGCCAAAACAAAGTTGAAAAAGAAGAATAAGATTCAAGGACTTACACTACCTGACTTCAAGACTTATTAAAAAGCTACAGTAACCAAGACAGTGTATAAAGTTACAGTAACCAAGACAGTGTGATATTCAGTATCAAGATAGAACAGAGTTGTTCAATCCCAGTACTACTCACATTTTAGGCCAGATAATTTTTCATTGTGGGAGCTGTCCTATGTACTCTACGATGCTGAGCAGCATTTCTGGCTTCTATCTACCAGAAACCAGTGGTATCTCCCCTGTTCCGACAACTAAAATTGTCTCTAAACTTTGCCAAATGTACCCTGGAGGCAAAATTGCCCCAGTTGAGACCACTGAGATAGACGACAGATCAATGGACGAGAACAGAATCCAGAAACTGACCCACACATATGTGATGAATGGATTTTTCATCAATGGTATAAATTCAATTCAATGGAGAAAGTATAAATTCTTTCAAAAAATGATGCTGGAACAAACAGATATTCATATGCCAAAAACAGTCAATCTATGCCTTGCCCTACGTATACAAAAATTAATTCAAAATGGATCATGGATCTAAATGTAAACCTAAAGTTATAAAACTTGCAGAAGAAAACAAGAAAACCTTGGGCTAGGCAAAGATCTCTTTGATACAACATGAAAATATCATCCTTAAAGAAAAAAAAGATAAATTAGATGTTATCAAAATTAAGAACTTCTGTCCTTTGAAAGATTCTGTTATGAGAGTGAAAAGATAAGCTACAGATCAGGTGAAAATATTTGTAAATCACATTTCTAATACTGGACTTGTATCTAGAATATACTTTTAAAACCTCTATAATGAGAAAACAACAAATTTAAAAATAGGTGAAAGATTCAAACACTTAAAGAAGAAATACAGATGGCAAATGAAACATGAAAAGATGCTCAACAATACTGGTTATTAGAGAAATGGAAATTAAAACCACAATGAGCTACTACTACACACCTATTATAATACCTAAAATTTAAAAGCCTGTCCAGGGCTTCCCTGGTGGCGCAGTGGTTGAGAGTCCGCCTGCCAATGCAGAGAACACAGGTTCGTGCCCCGGTCCAGGAAGATCCCACATGCCACGGAGCGGCTAGGCCCGTGAGCCATGGCCGATGGGCCTGCGCATCCGGAGCCTGTGCTCCGCAACGGGAGAGGCCACAACAGTGAGAGGCCCGCGTACCGCAAAAAATAAAAAAATAAAAATAAAAAAATAAAAGTCTGTCCATACCAAGTGTTGCCTATTAATATAGAGCACCTGGAACTCTCATACACTGCTGATTGGAATGTAAAATGGTACAATCACTTTGGAAAATCATTTCAGAGTTTCTTAAAAAGTTAAATTTATACCTACCATATGACCCAACCATTCTACTCCTATATTTACCCAAGGGAAATGAAAGCATATGTCCATACAAAGATTTACACAAATGTTCATAGCAGCTTTATTTGTAATAGCCAAGAAACGTAAATAACCCAATGCCCATCAACAGCTGAATGGATAAACAAATTATGGTATATTCATACAATGGAATACTACTCAACAGTAAAAAGGAATGAACTAGTCATACATCTTGTGACATAGATGAATCTCAGAATAATATGCTGAGTGACAAAAGTCAGATTTTAAAAAGGCTCATACTATACAATTTCATTTTTATAAAATTGTAGACATAATAAATTGACCTCTAGTGACAGAAAGCAATTCAGTAGTTGTTTAGGGATGGTGGGGTAAGGGTGGAGGCAGGAAGAAGTGGGAATGGATTACAAAGGGGCACCAGGAATCTTCTGGGGGTGATAGATATGTTCCTTATTTGACTGTGGTGATGGTTCCATAGACATATACATACATCAAAACTTACCAAATTGTATACTATAAATATGTGCAGTTTATTTTATGTCAATTATATACTTAAATAGAGATATTTAAAAATTAAAACTCTGCTGGTATCTAACTCCCATTCTCTCCTCTGGTTTTAGAATTCTTTTGATAATTGAGATATAATTGACATATAACATTTAAGGTGTACAATGTGTTAACTCGATAATTTATATATTGCGATATGATTACCACTGTAGCTTTAGCTAACACCTCTATCATGTCACATAATTATTATTTCTTTTTTGTAGTGAGAACAATTAAGATCTAGTCTCTGAGCAACTTTGATGTTTATAATACAGTATTGTTGACTATAATCACCATGCAGTACATCAGATCTCCAGGAATTATGTATCTACTAGTTGCAGGTTTGTACCATTAAGCAACATCTCCCCTGCACTCTTACACCCATATCACATTCTCAAAGGTTTTCCATATTAATCATACAGTTTATTTTTCTCATGAATCAATTTAGGGTTCATTAACAAATGTGATTTTTTAAAAATTCTGAGTTAATTCCTTAAGTTTTTAGAATTCAGTCGGCAATGGATGTTATATTATTCAGCAACAGAATTCATAGCTAACATGTATGTGGCAAAAGTATACTAGGCTTTGCCATTACCATTATGTTAAATGAGTAGAATTACAGATATTTAGATAAAAATAATACACTATTTAAGATGTCTAAAGCCTAATCAGTTGATGGGGAAGAGACGATGCAGTCCCCCTCTGGAGAGAGAGTAAGATATTCTATGGTCCTGAAAAATAGGTAGAGTGGAAGAAAGGAAAAAAAAAGCAAAGAGGGAAAAAATTAATGATTTTGTGACTTTCAAAAGTATGTGACTTTTTAAATCACATAGTCCTGTCACTACTCCAAAAATATAAAACTGTACTTGAAGATGTTATAATGCCAAAATATGGGGGGAAAAAAGAATTACTTACACCCTATTAAACACATTGTTTTAAAATGTTGATAGTTGGCTGAGTTGAGAGCACTGAATGCATATATATCCCCAAACATAATGATAACAGAAGTTACTGGTAGTTATGCTTAAAAACATTCCGGTTCCAAATTGAACATAAATCTCTAGCCAAAATTCTCAGGTACTAATGTGTTTATTCAGCATCTTCAAGATGAACAAAATTACCACTATGCTCAGGAAAAGTATAAAAAGGAAACTAACAAGCTTAAGAAAAAAGTAACAGTATTTTTTAATGAAAAAAATTACATTATAACAAGGACAGTAAACATTAAGTTACTCTATATATATATATATATATATATACACACACACACACATATACACACATTTTTTAATTTTTTAAAAAACCTGGTACAAAATTAAACTGCATCTTTCTCATATTCACATGATTAAGTATGTATTTTGACAGGATATAAAGATGAAACACAAGCTGGTAGGCCTCAAGATTAGAAACTCTAATGCAGGACCATATCACCAAGACTATTTTCTATCAGTTTTGTGACTTTTAGAAAACATTTACCTTGTATAAGACATAAAGGCTTTTTCTTTTAAGTATGTTAACTGCTTACACAGAAAATCAATATTGAGGGAAGGACCCACCATGCCTGTGTTTATCTATAATTCACTGTAGTATATATAATGTTCACTTGGAGGCTTAGTTATAATGATAACTACAATAAAGAAACAAGCTCAGCTGTAATTATGAATTCTAACTGCTTGTTTTGAACATCCAACTTTCTACTACAGATATTACACCTTGTAATACATGACACAAAAGAGCATATGTCAAACTTTGCTGCAGAGCTGTTAGGAGAATGCCAAATACAGATACTGAAAACTTTATGCGCTGTATTTAATACCCTGTGCATTTTAAAATTAACTGAATATTTAAAAAACGTAAACATACTTTTAAAAAAGCAACGCTAAGCACCTTTAAAATACAATACCAATATACTGTGACTGAACATGCATTTGGAAGACAAATTAATTTTTAAAAATTAATTTAGAAACCATTTTTAAAGAGCTACTCATTAAAATACTTACATGAAAATATTGATAGTTCCAGTTCCTACCTAAAAACCAAAAGAGTATACAATTAGGGATTTAAACCTTCACGCTCTTTTTTTTTCTTTTTGTTTGTGGGGAAGATTCACTGCAACTTTCTGTCCTCGTAAAAAAAGTATCAGAAGAGATATTCACATAGCATTAAGTGAGAAATGTTTTTAAACTATGTTTTGTTCTTGACCAAGTGCTAAAGTCTGGATCCTCCGACAGCTCTCATCCTCCTAGGTAACTGACTAGAGTTTGTATCTTAACAAGCATTTCTCCTTAGCAACATCAAAAAGGAATGTCTCCAAAGGAATATAGTTCAATAAACTATAATAAACTATCGTCATTAATGAAAGGTAAAGATCTATTATTTAAAATCTTGAAAAATGTTTCCATAAAAACTAGAAATAACAAATGAAATGCATATTACCCACAATGCAACACTAAACTATAAATTAATTGGGACTTATACCCTTTAAGTACACACAGACTAAGAGAAAACTGGGCTTGAGGTAAGTAAGAGTTGTGGGGTTTTTTTTGCTGTACGCGGGCCTCTCTCACTGTTGTGGCCTCTCCCGTTGCGGAGCACAGGCTCCAGACACGCAGGCTCAGCGGCCATGGCTCACGGGCCCAGCCGCCCCGCGGCATGTGGGATCTTTCCGGACCAGGGCACGAACCCGTGTCCTCTGCATCGGCAGGTGGACTCTCAACCACTGCGCCACCAGGGAAGCCCAAAAGTTGTGTTTAACTTAGCATAACATAGATTTGGCAGCCTGCCTCTATAAATGCTGACATCAAGTATTTTCAATTCTTAGGAAAAATAAAAGCAATTCTTATTAAAAAATTATATATGTAACTGAATATTAACTTTGCATTAAATATAGGTATAAATAACTTTTATGTTAAATAGGGTATAAATATAAAGAGCAAGGAATTTTATAATTCCATCTTCTTCTAACATAACAGTGCTTTATACTTAGATACATGTTGTGTACCTGAAACAATTGAAGTGAATTAAGAATGGGAGATTGAACTTAGAAAAGCCAAAAAGACTCATATTTATATGAAGTATTAAGGTTAAATTTCATATTCTGCATGCTTTGAATATTAAACATTAATATCCATTGGAAATGCTTATTACTTTTAAATAAAAATTTAAATATACCCACAAATGATCTCTGGGGGAAAAAAAGGCTTTAGGTTGATTTCTTGACAGCTATAATTGACATTTCCAGTTCGCCAGCCTTATAGAAACAAGTAGCTTATAATGAATATACTGATTAGTACTTATTCAGTATTTGAAGTAAATATACTTACAAAAAGACTCATATTCATGTTAAGTATTAAGGCTGAATTTCATATTATATTCTGTATGCTTTGAATATTAAACATTAAAATCCATTTGCAATTCTTATTTTTAAATAAAAATTTAAATAAACCCACACATGGTCTCTACAGGGAAAAAAAGCCTTTAGGTGATTTCTTGACAGTTATAATTGACATTTCTAGGTTACCAACCTTCTGGAAAAGAGAAGCTTATAATGAATATACTGATTAGTACTTGTTCAGTATTTGAAGTAAATATGCTTATTTAACAAGCAAATATAACACACCAGTTGTTTTAAAGTTTTAAATATGAACTAAAATTTCAACTACAAATCTTTACCTTTAAATACTATAAATTTTAATACCATCAATTCATTAAGAACTCTGGCACAGAAAAATAAATACAACTCAAATTCTCTTCTAACCAGAGCTGAATCTTCAATACAAAATAGGGGGAAAAAAAAAAGAGAAAAATCTTCTGCTGATATCAAAAAGTTCCCCTAATTATCTGTTAACACCAGGGAATTCTATTATTCTTTCTGAATTCTCTCAATTTCTACATTTTTCAACCCATAAGTAGTATTTTAACTACAATACTGTATAAATCCCTGCAAAAAACATTTATTTCTCTTGCTTATCTGATTCAAGTTAAAACTCTCAGTACTTACCAAGACACTGTAAATTTCTACTAGATGACCATTGGTATACCACTGGTTTGTAGTTTTAAGTACAAAAATTAGAATGGAAGAAGCTAAAATGCAACCACATAGTTTTCACAGATGTGAATGTTGGGCTTCATGTTATGATGTAAAATCTGTTGTTTTTCTTTCCAAATGAGACAGACCTCAGATATTCTCTCGTCTGCCAATTTAAAAATTTTCTTCACAACTTTAAAGAGGGAATAACTCTTTCAGAACTCAAAAAAATTCACCACACACACACACACAAACTCACATACTTTTTTTGTTGTTCTTTTTTAAGAACCAAAATTAATATCTAATTTCCAGAGGATGAATTAGATATGTGGATACGTTCAGATGACCTTTTGAAATACTGGCCTTATCAGATAATCAAAAACCATAAGAATTATACAAAATAAGAGGAATAAAATATCTCTTAAGGTAAAAATAGGGAGTTAGCAACAAATATGTCAGTTTTAAATTAAAGCTGCTCATTAAACCAGTCTTCAGTCCACTTATCACAATGCTGCGCTTTGATAATATTCACCTTCTTTTTTATGACATCAGAAGTCACCAGAGTTGTAAATTCTGAAAAGCTTCAATAATTTATGTAGCAGACAATTTCTTACAGTCCAATTTTTTTTTTGCTTCCATAGATAATGCTGGTTCTTTGGGTTCTTGCTTAACTTGGTTCACAGAAATGGTACCTTCTGGACTTTCTTCAACTTTAAAACCGAACATAAAAGAAAAAATCCTAAGGGTTAATATAATTTATAATACTGGAATCTTTAGAATTATATGAATTTAGAAGCAAGCCAAAAGAAAAACAACAGTAGTTTGGAAAAAGAATCAAGTAATTTAGAAAATCAGTTGGTGTATTTGAGAACTCAATGCTTCTGACATCTTAACGGTCATTCATATTAAATTCCTTCAGTACGGAAAAAAAAGAGACCAAGAAAACTGCAAAGTTACACTCTTCAAAAGATTCTTTGACCAAAAATCAGTCCATAATTTGATAAAATTATGAGGAATATCTCATATTTGAACTCAACTGTCTTTAAAAATATGTGTGACTAAAAGTCAGGAAGCCTCTCATTATTTGAAAATGATTTTTTTTTTTTACAAACAGCAAACATATACTACAAATCCACTGATGTGTTACCATTCTCATATGGTCTCCATACTCACTCAATGTTGTCTCCCTAAAGAAACCACACTACTTAAATACTTCAGAAAAAATATGCAACATCTTAAATGATAGCTCTGACTTAGCTGCACGAGCTCTGTGTTTGCTTATGTGAAACATTTCAGAATGTACTACCATTCTAATTTCAAAGTACTTATGACCAAATTAATGTAAATGTAGCAAACCAGCAACACTACTGTGATCTGGCAGGTGGGATACCTAAGATAAAATCTTTCTCTTTCTCAGGAATATCAGTTTTTCAGTTGCTATGGGGAACCAAGGTCAAGGGGACTATACTTGCTCAGAAAAGTGTGTTGAACACACCTAATGCTTGTCACATACAGGTGTGTTAGAGTTTAGCCTACACCATATCGAGAAAACCAGTAGAGGATGGATTTGAGTGATCCTGAGAATTCATATTTAGGTGAACTAGTCCCTAAAATCATGATCTAACTTGATAGATCACGCAAGTTCAGATCCAAAGAGGGTCTCCTTTAAGGCAATCTGAATTACAGCTCCCAGAAATCCTTGGCACAATGGAGGGACGAGAGATCTTAGAACTGGAAGAAGTTTTGGAGGCAGACAGATCCGGGTTTAAATGCCCTCTCTGTCACTTACTAGATGTGATTTTTTAGGCAATTACTTAACCTCCCAGAGCCTTGGTCTCCTCATCTGTAGAATGGGGACAATACTAGCTATTTCATGGGGTAGTTGTGAGGATTAGTTCATGTATATTCCTTTTCTCTCTCTTCTCCTAAAGTTCCTAAAGACAACTGCCACAGCCCTCTGGAGAAATTTTCTTAAAAGTATGCTTCCTATAAATTTAAAAGCCAATGATTTTTTTCTGGAAGGCACTATCTCACACATGGAGGGAAAAATATATGTTCTAAGGATAACTTCTATGAAGACTTTTGTTCTTCAAAGCAAACTGCAGATCTTTTCCCACAAAAACGCCCAATCCAGAACAATTTGTGTGAAAAGAAATGGCATAGGTCAAGTAGCAGTTAACAGAATTTATTACTATGTTGACTGGGTTCATTCTAAAGTGAAGGCAACAAAGTCTTGGATTAAAACCAAGTCCCCAAGTCTTACTAGTTCTCTTTCAATTTCTATAGAACTCAACATTTAAGTCTATAACTCAAAATCTTCCTTTTAACCTTTACATCTGCCAACTTCATCCCATTTTTCTTTGTGTGTGTGTATCAATTTTTCCATAATAACCTTTACACTAAATAGTTTTCCTTTTAGAGTTTCTCTAATATTTTTTTCATGCATTCAAAAATGACCTTCCTAAAAAAAAAAAAAAATGACCTTCCTGATTTCACCTCACCACAGATTTTCCATGTAAAACTAGGTAATTAGGGAATGAATAATTTTGATAAAGAAAAACACTAAAATGTTTAAAAGTTATTAAATTCATGGTCACCAAATTTCTTCCCTTTTTCTCCTGGTTTTACTTGATTTATTAATATATTATAAACCCACTGAGTAGAAATGACAGTTTTTTTCTCTAGTGTAATAGTAATGATAGTCCATAAAGGTTAAAAAAAATAAAATCATATGATTTTAACTTACTAAGAGCTGGGTGGCTGTCTATAATCTGTATTGGAATGGTCTGAACATTTCCCAGCAGAATCCGATGAACATTTCCTTCCAGATTCTCTGTATCCTCAACATCTCCAACTTCCACCAGCTGATCCACTGCAACCAGATTTTGATCGGGTCCTGGAAGGTTACCCATGGTAGAGGAAATACTATTGTTTTGGGTTAGGCATGTATCTGTTTGAAGGCAATGAGTTTGGCCAAGCAGCAGAGAATTATTATTCATTACAGCACTTCCTACTGAATCCAGAAGTCTTGAAGGACTGGAGGAGGGGTGATTATTTACTGATATCAGAGCTGGTGATCCATCAGAAGATGTGAATCTTGGTTGCAACTGCAAACCCTTTTGAACCGAAAAGAGTTACATCAAAATGTTTGAATTTACTATGTATGTTTTTCTTATCAAATATATTACTCTTTTGACACAAAATTGGAATAAAAGCTAAGAGTATAGCTAATAACAAATATTAAGTGAGGACAGAAACAAGAACCAAAGGAAAATTAGTACAACTAATTTTATCGCATGCATAGTCAATTCAAACTTTTCCAAAACATATTGTTTGAATTATCATCTTAAATCAAGAAACAAAAAAGTCAGAAAATTAATGATGAAAACATCTTTGATCATCTTTATAATTCTATAACAATTCTGTCAAATCCCTAAGAAAAGAGGGAAGATTGAGGAAGAACGATAAGGGCCCCAAATTTGGCTATTACACTGGATACTTACCTGTAGTTGTGTGAATATTTTTGGCTGAAATGAAGAAAGTGAGGAGAGCAAGTGCGCTGGCTCTGGAGACAAAGAACCCCTTGTCTGATTTGTTTCCACTTTGCTGGAAATTGCTTCTCCTTGTGAATTTCCTAAATTATATAAAAAATAAACTATTAAAACAAAGTAATTTTTATGGCTTCTAGGATATACTTTATTACAATCCTTACTATCAGAAATGGAATAGGAAATAAGGTCAAAGGTTTGAAACGGACTTTAAGAAGTTATCTAGTCTACTATTTCCAGAACCTGGTAGATCATCAGAATCACTAAACTTTAAAAAGTAAGTTCCTAGATTCAACCTCCAGTAATTTTAATTCAGTATATCTAGGAAGGGATGTAAGAAGCTATTTTTTTCCTTAAAAGATTCTATACCTGTAGTTCTAATCTAGTCCATTTTTTTCATGCTATAATGCTGGACCTAAGCTTCTCCAGATGTGGAACACCTATTGAATATCTCAGTTACAAAGACCAAACTTAACTCATCTTTGATAACCCTAGTGCCTAGGACAATGCCTGGCATAAAGCAGGTCTTCAATAATAATAGTACTAAATTTCTTTCAATAACTCATTTTTGAATAAATGAAGAAGAGCAAAAATTTTTCTTTTCTAAATATCTCAATTTTAAAGTAATTGCCCTTTGGGAATTTGAGTCCTTCTCATGTAATTCTTATATGTTAACCCAAATATATTCATCTCTTTAAGGTAATCAAAAACCAATTAAAACCAATCATCAACAACTATTTATTGCTCCCATACTGCATATCGCATCCGTGTAACCGAGTAATTTTAAAAAATGGTCCTGGTGTCAGACAACGATGGATTTAAGTGCTGGCTTTTCTCTGTAGCCTTCAACATTCTATTTAACTCAGTTTCTAAACTTCAGTTTCCTCAGGTGTAAAATCAGGATAATAAGAGAATTTTCCTCAAAGGATTAACAGTACTCTCACTTTTCTTGGCTGCTTCATTTCTAACTGTCCCACCTCACTATGCTGCAGTTACCTGCTACTATGATTATACCTGGGACTATTATTCCACATGTAAAATCTCTAATTCAAACATCCCATTCTCTGATCACAACCTCTATTCTTCCAGGGATTTTGCTCAGGTACTCTACTACAATTCTGCTTCAACTTCACGTGAACCTCCAGTTAACTAATTCCTCAGTTTTCTTCAGATCCATCACTGTCTTCCTTAATAAAATTCTCTCCCCATCCAGCTTAGAGTCCTGGGCTTATAATTTTAGTCACTCTCTTGCAAATACCTTAAACTCCCTTTCCTCTCTGTCCTTGGGTCATAACGCCCTGGTAAAATCCTAATTCTGGATGAAAATGGCTTCCAGGGCCTATACATGTAAAGCTGAATGTCACTGAAGAAGAAATTCGCTGTCACTACTAATACCAATTCATGGTCATCAGCCTCAATAGGACCTTCATGTATATGACAATCTTACAATGTTTCTCTCACTCTATATCAGGGATGATATTAAACCTCCATTTTCCTCAAATCTTGGTCACCCTTCCTGTGATCTTTTCTCATTCTTAACACTTACTTAAAGAGAAAAGAGAAGCTATCAGATAGAAATGTACTCAACTTCCCATCACCAAACCTATCAAGTACCTTCATCTTCATCTATCTCTTCAGGTCTCTCCTTTCCTAACATACCTTCCCTCAACCCCATACCCACTTCATAGCAAACTTTTTGAAGTGGTCCACACTGTCTCTGCTTCTTTATTCATCTCCCATTCACTCTTCAGCCACGCCAATATGGGTTCCTTCCAATCCACCTCATTGAAATGATTGGTACTCACACTTTTCCAAACTTGATCACAGGATCTTTTTCTCTCCCCTGCTACCAATACCCAACTCTTATGCCAGGATTGCTGAGCTCAGTAAATGCCACCGTCAGTCAGTTGCTCATGGAAGAAACTCAGGAGTCATCCCAGATCATTCCCACTCTTTTACCTCCTACACCTGTTCAATCAATAACCAAGGCCTTCGAATTCAATTTTTTAAATAACTCTTAAATCTGCCTAATTCTAGTATAAATGTCACCAACTGTAATCTATACCACTATCACCTTTCACTTGGACTGCTGAAAGGGCCTCCTAAAACTGTTTTGTTGAACCAGTTTTATCTCTAAGCATTGTCTATACTTTACACTAGCTTTCTTAAGTTCCTTGGACACAGCAAGCACTTTCTTGCTCAGCCTTCAAACATGCTATTCCTTTGATTGGCAAATTCCTATTCATTCTTCAGTTCTCAGTCTAGAGAATAGGGAAGGGACACTTGAGAAAGTAACTTTTAAACTGAGTTGCATGTCTCTATCACCATTCCCATACAATTTGGCACAATTCTCTCATGGCACAATTCATAAAGGTAATTCATTAGAATATACTGTAGTGCCTTTTTCTCTTGCTAAACTTTAAATTCAATGAAGCAAGAAACTTACTTTTTTTTTAGGCTCAGCATTTATCACACTGAGTTAATATACACAGAACAAATGAATAATTCTAAAGATTTTGTGAATTTTTTTTTTATGTTACAGTGAAGGTACTATGATTTTAATTAATTACATATTAAATGTTAAAAAAATGGAACTGAGGAGGGAATTCCTTATTTATAATAAAAGGTCAGTTACCAAAAATTCTATTCTTTTTTTTTTTTAACATCTTTATTGGAGTATAATTGCTTTACAATGGTGTTAGTTTCTGCTTTATAACAAAGTGAATCAGTTATACCTATACATCTGTTCCCATATCTCTTCCCTCTTGCGTCTCCCTCCCTCCCACCCTCCCTATCCCACCCCTCTAGGTGGTCACAAAGCACCGAGCTGATCTCCCTGTGCTATGCGGTTGCTTCCCACTAGCTAGCTACTTTACATTTAGTAGTGTATATATGTCCATGTCACTCTCTCACTTTGTCACAGCTTACCCTTCCCCCTTCCCATATCCTCAAGTCCGTTCTCTAGTAGGTCTGTGTCTTTATTCCCATCTTACCCCTAGGTTCTTCATGACTTTTTTTTTCCCCTTAGATTCCATATATATGTGTTAGCATATGGTATTTGTTTTTCTCTTTCTGACTTACTTTACTCTGTATGACAGACTCTAAGTCCATCCACCTCACTACAAATAACTCAATTTCGTTTCTTTCTACGGCTGAGTAGTATTCCATTGTATACATGTGCCACATCTTCTTTATCCATTCATGCGATGATGGACATTTAGGTTGCTTCCATCTCCTGGCTATTGTAAATAGAGCTGCAATGAACATTTTGGTACATGACTCTTTTTGAATTATGGTTTTCTCAGGGTATATGCCCAGTAGTGGGATTGCTGGGTCCTATGGTAGTTCTATTTGTAGTTTTTTAAGGAACCTCCATACTGTTCTCCATAGTGGCTGTACCAATTCACATTCCCACCAGCAGTGCAAGAGTGTTCCCTTCTCTCCACACCCTCTCCAGCATTTATGGTTTCTAGATTTTTTGATGATGGCCATTCTGACTGGTGTGAGATGATATCTCATTGTAGTTTTGATTTGCATTTCTCTAATGATTAATGATGTTGAGCATTCTTTCATGTGTTTGTTGGCAGTCTGTATATCTTCTTTGGAGAAATGTCTATTTAGGTCTTCTGCCCATTTTTAGATTGGGTTGTTTGTTCTTTGGTTATTGAGCTGCATGAGCTGCTTGTATATTTTGGAGATGAATCCTTTGTCAGTTGCTTCATTTGCAAATATTTTCTCCCATTCTGAGGGTAGTCTTTTGGTCTTGTTTATGGTTTCCTTTGCTGTGCAAAAGCTTTTAAGTTTCATTAGGTCCCATTTGTTTATTTTTGTTTTTATTTCCATTTCTCTAGGAGGTGGGTCAAAAAGGATCTTGCTGTGATTTATGTCACAGAGTGTTCTGCCTATGTTTTCCTCTAAGAGTTTGATAGTTTCTGGCCTTACATTTAGGTCTTTAATCCATTTTGAGTTTATTTTTGTGTATGGTGTTAGGGAGTGTTCTAATCTCACACTTTTACATATACCTGTCCAGTTTTCCCAGCACCACTTACTGAAGAGCCTGCCCCTTCTCCACTGTACATTCCTGCCTCCTTTATCAAAGATAAGGTGACCATATGTGTGTGGATTCATCTCTGGGCTTTCTATCCTGTTCCAGTGATCTATATTTCTGTTTTTGTGCCAGTACCATACTGTCTTGATTACTGTAGCTTTGTAGTATAGTCTAAAGTCAGGGAGCCTGATTCCTCCAGCTCCGTTTTTCATTCTCATTGTTGCTTTGAATATTTGGGGTCTTTTGTGTTTCCATACAAATTGTGAAATTTTTTGTTCTATTTCTGTGAAAAATGCCAGTGGTTGTTTGATAGGGATTGCATTGAATCTGTAGATTGCTTTGGGTAGTAGAGTCATTTTCACAATGTTGATTCTTCCAATCCAAGAACATGGTATATCTCTCCATCTATTTGTATCATCTTTAATTTCTTTTATCAGTGTCTCATAATTTTCTGCATACAGGTCTTTTGTCTCCTTAGGTAGGTTTATTCCTAGATATTTTATTCTTTTTGTTGCAATGGTAAATGGGAGTGTTTTCTTAATTTCACTTTCAGATTTTCATCATTAGTGTATAGGAATGCCAGAGATATCTGTGCATTAGTTTTGTATCCTGCTACTTTACCAAATTCATTGATTAGCTCTAGTAGTTTTCTGGTAGCATCTTTAGGATTCTCTATGTATAGTATCATGTCATCTGCATTTGTGAGTTATTTTATAGGCAAAGAGACTCTTAAAGGTTAATAAGCCAAAGAATAAAAAAAAATTGTACTGTATATAATTATTAATTTATCCTAAAGCATCTATTTAGGTGTTAACTTTTTAGAAGCCATTATGCTAAGAACTAGGTATATTAATTTGAATAAAATATGATTCTCAAATCATAATGAAAGATACATATGCATAAACCAAGGATACCATGTTAAATGCAGAGATAAATACAAAAGAGTGAATATCCATCTGTACATAGGGGGTGAAGTTAAGAGAGCATTTAAAGCCAAAGAGATTGCTATGTGAGTAATGAGAGGAGTTCACCATACAGAAGAGGAGAAAAGACATTTCTAGAAGAGACATTTCTAGACAAAGACACTTCTAGAAGAGAGAACAAAAAGGTTGAAATAAGCTTGGAATATTGAGAGAGCAAAGGAGTAAGAACATATGAGAAAAAACAAACCATACAAAAAAAACCATACCAAAAAAAAAGGAAAGCTGATTATATAGGAGGAAATTTAAATAGCTGGAAGTATTTTCATAAATCCTAACATAGTTGCTCTTGCCTCTTTGGGACATGGTTTCCTTATCCATAAATTAGATGAGATAAATTAGATAACATCTTAAATGTCTTCCAATTTTAACACTGTTTGATTTTATATCTTAAAAGTATTCAAGATAACCTACCTTCTGCAAGTGTAACTGTCACAGTCTCTCTGAGAATATTCCCACTACCTGTAGTCCATTGAAGCTGAAATGGGAACATTTACTTCAGTAAAAAGAACAAAGCATTTATTCTGGAAACTATTTTAAAACAGCAATGCAACTGTCATATCTTATTCAGTCATAGTATAAATGTGCTTTATTCTGTAATTACTCTCTTTATTTGTTCACATTCTCAAAGTATTAAGTATATTTAACTATGCAAATAAATTAGCTTCCTAAGGTCAGATAGCAAGAATTTGGATAGCAAGTGTAGATGGCAAAGACTACTGCTAACCAAATCTGTTTTAGTTCCTGAATTTTGGATAGTGAATAACTAAGAGTTTTGGACAGAAAAGAATAGTAGCTCTAGCTTAAAAAAGTCTCAATCTATTCAGTTACTGAATTTAGAGAGTAAAAATGTATAGAGAAAAGAATACTGCTACTTGAGATTTTAATGCCAAAATCACTGCTTGTATTACAATTAGCAGTTCCTGGGTTAATCTCTTCAGATTAGGCAAAATTTTCATAGAAATGGCCACTTTTCTGGAGAAAGCTACAGTATCACAATGTGAGGTAAACTTTATATCCATAGACAGCATATAGAACCAACATCATCACTTTGTGTATTCAACTCTGAACTATTCTATTTAAACTTGCTTCTATTGAAATTTTAAAAAGAGGTGGAGATATACACAGTATGTACTCAATAAATATCTGTTAAATGAATAAGATATACTTTTTACAGAGATAATATGTGTTGATTTTTAAGTGAAGATTACTATTGTTATTATAGTCAGGGTTGGAAATTCGCTGATATTTCTTCTTGTGAGAGTAATAAAAAATATTTTAGTCAAATCATTATCTGAGAGTTCATAGTGTTCACATTTTGAGAAAAAGATACTACCATTTTTCCTTATATCACAGTTATAAGGAAATAAGTTATAAGTTATATGGCCTAATAGCAATCATGCATCAGCTGAGAAGGATTGTTGTAATAAAACAAGGAATTACAGTTGTAATCATACCGTTGCTGGAATAATCTCTGAGTTATATACATTATCTCCATTTCTCAAGGATTTCTGTACCTCATGGATGTGATTTTTTATATCATTTACAGTTGGAAAAAAGGATAAATTATGTCTTTCAGGTATCTCATCAGGTTTGAACAGTTCCCTTTCCACAAATTTTCTATGGAGAATATAAAATAGAATAAAAACATAAACAATCTAGCAATCTAATTCAGCTCAAATGACAGAGTTCTCTTTTAGTATAAACTTCTAAGTATGGTTTACAGCTTTATAAGTAATTTATATTTTTCCACTTTTTTCCCATACATTAAGTCATGGAATTCATGCAGATTAAAGAAATGTAATATTTTCATTGGTTAAACACCTATATATCTTAGAATGAGCTTTGATATTTTTATGAATTTAACGAAATCACTATTTTCAATTTAAATATAATATGTTTTTGAATGCCAGGCACTGCACTGAACACTTCACATCTAGTATCTCCTTTAACCCACACTATAATCCTGTGAGGTAGGTATAATTATCATTCCTACTTTACAGATGAGAGAACAGAGGGCTACAGAAGTTAAGTATTGCTTTGGCCAAAAAGTTCGTTCGGGTTTTCGTAAGCTGTTAGGGACAAATCCGAATGAACTTTTTGGCCAACCCAATCATTTCCCCAAAGTTATACACCTAGCTAGTAAGTAAGAGAGACTGGGCCTATACCAAAGTTATACATATAAACATCATGTTTCATTGCTTTCAAAAGTCATCAATTAATATATGAAATACGTCTGCTCAAATTTTACAAGTAGACAAATGAGAAGATAGAAATAAAAGGCAGCATTGCCATACGATGGTTATAAAAAATAAAGATATAAAAGAAATGATAAAATTCAATATATATATTCTTTGTGCATTACATTCAGTAGACCACATTGAAGAGCTGTATTATACCTCTGTTTCTACAATATAGGTTTAGTAAAATAGTGGATGGCTTACCAAACTTTGGCTCTGTTCTAAGAATGCCCCAATGGAAATAAACATAAAATGTCTAAGAAAGCTGCTAAATAGAAAAGTCATGTATTAATTAAGAAATAATCCTGGGAAATACTCATTGTGTTGTTCAGATCAGACTACACAATAACCAGAAGGAATAAGGTCAGTTAAGTAGCAGAAATCATGCTGGAGAGCACAGGCTGTAGTCAGACCTAGATTTCAGTTCTGCCTGTATATCTTTAACCACCCTGAGTCTCCATTTCCTCATCTGCAGAATGAGGATAAATACACAAACTTCATGAGTCATAAGAATAAATGAGATCATACCTATAAGTGCTTAGCACAATAGCTGGCACATACATACTAAGTGCCACGTAATAATTATTATTATATCCTGAGTATCAATAAAATTAGACCAGAGTACTACCTATAAAATTTCATTAAACAAAAAAACTATCCACATTCTTTTGTTGTAATAAAATTTAATTGCATTTCAAACAGGTTAAAACAAGTATCTTGGCCCACGTTTTAAAATCTTTTCTACAAATTTTTTTTCTGTAAAGGTATTTAGTACATAATTCAATGTATATATCATTTAGAAATAGTCCAATTTGCCAAATCTGAATATGGAATATCTCAAATGAGTAATTCGAATCATTACTTATGGCTTGCCAAGCATCTGCAGAAAAATGATCAGTTCATAAATAAGATTATTTTAATAAATTAATAAACTATATTCCTTATCTACTCTGATAGCCTATATCCTGGAAAATGTCTATAATATTAAGTGTATTATTTAAACCAACAAACAGAAATGAAAAAGAACAATTTGTTTCTACTGTACCTTAGCTGTTTCCTTACTGCATACACTTGTTGTATTCCCTGTGATACTAGTTCTTGAATTTTATGTGCTACTTGAGGATGTAGACGTGAGGGTAATGTACAGTTCTCATCTCTAACTGCAGCTTCCTCTTCTTCAAGAGAAGACATAGGAAAAGGGGAAGGTGATAAAGGGAGGCAGGGAGTCTCTAATTCGTGATACTGATGAGCTTGCTGAGTAGGTAACTGTACATACCACCTGACAAGAAAAAATATTTAAAATTATATTATTAGACAAAGGCAAGAATCAGGGCTTCCCTGGTGGTGTAGTGGTTGAGAATCTGCCTGCCAATGCAGGGGACACGGGTTCGAGCCCTGGTCTGGGAAGATCCCACATGCCACGGAGCAACTAGGCCCGTGAGCCACAACTACTCAGCCTGCGCATCTGGAGCCTGTGCTCCGCAACAAGAGAGGTCGCGAAAGTGAGAGGCCCACGCACCGTGATGAAGAGTGGCCCCCGCTTGCCACAACTAGAGAAAGCCCTCGCACAGAAACAAAGACCCAACACAGCCAAAAATCAATAAATTAAAAAAAAAAAAAGCAACAATCATAGTTACTTATGTTAATACTCATCAGGAGAAGGAATCATCGTTTAAGAAAAATTATATGATTATATGATATTAAATAAATGTAAATTTAAAATTTTTACGTAAATTAAATAAAAATAAAATAAATATAAATAAAAGTTAAAATGTTCTGTCTTAACTCTTCTAAGATTGGCTTTATACCCAATTAAATAAAAATCTTTATAAACCTTTATAGACTTTTACTATGTCCTTAAAGTTAAGGAGGGTGCAAGATTTAGGTATACATGAAAATGGTATTTAAAATTTCATATTAAGTAAACTTTACCTCAAAATAATGAGATTTTAAAATCATCTTTTGAATTGTGTATTTACCATTCTTCTACCATTTTGTTCCCAAATTACAACTTCTGTGTTGTACGTATAATCCTCCTAACCAAAGAGTGGATAAAATTTAGTGCCTACGAAGATCGAGCTATGTGAGGGAATGTTCTCAGACAGGAACTCAACATACTGCCCCCATAGCACTCCAGCTCCTTTTGCCCCAATGAGCAAGAGAATCAACTAAAAGGTGAACACAGATTTCTTACAGCCATGCAGTAAAACAGATTCTAGGAAAATGAACTTATCAGATAGGATACAGTTTTAATAAATATCTTTATACAAAATGCTTGCACTGTCTGATATTGCATGAAACGGAGCCTACTTAAAAATTATACAAAATGTTCTCCAAACTGAAGAGTCTAATTATTGATTGTATTTATTTTTCATATATCTGAAACTTTTTCTAAAGATCACATAAAAACTGTATTCCATACGCTTAACCCCCTTATAAATTCTTCACCTGGACCAGCACATAAATGAAAGTAAGAAAGAAAGCTAATATTTCTTATTTAAAACCTGAAGCATGAAAGATATAAAATGGAATTTTATATAGGGCTTAGAATTCATATCTGGCTGCCATAAGTAATCAAAGATGGGTTTTAAAAATATATGTAGGTGACTGCAAGTTCAGTTCCTAATAAGCATCTGAAAAAACGTACTAAATATATAATAAAATGTGTTGCTAAATATGTATTTATCATTTGGGGAAAAAACTTCCACACTGTATAAAGAATTCTTTGGTTAAAATTATCCACATTTGGACGATAAACTCAATGGCTTATACAGTGGTAAATCATTTTAATACCTAGGGAGCAACTAATAAGACATCTATCTACCTTATAAAAACCATTTCTTAATGAAATAATTGGAAAACATAATAATTTCTCTTATTACAGAATTCTTCCAAATGGAGCGAAGTAATTTGTAAAATAAAAGAACAATATAAATGTCATACCTAAGAACACCACCAGCATCTACCAAGTTCTTCTTTAGCATGTTAAAGGCTTTTTCCTGCTCCATTCGGATTATTTTCCTGTCAATTTTGGGGTCTGTAGGAACTCTATATTCAGGAAATTTCTGTACCTTTTTAATGTAAATCCTTTTTATAAGAAAAAGAAGAATTGTTTTCATTATACTATAACCTCAAGACTAACTTATCAACCACAAGTTTACTTTAGCATTAGTTTAGCAGAGTTTAGAGAAAATTCGATTAATCTAGAAAGCATTCAGATAATTATGTGAAAGATATGCCATATTTTCCGTGTATAATACTCAGCAAGTTAATAATCATTACTTTAGTAAAAATGTCTAAATATTATGAATATTAACTTTTTTTTTCTGGATCTGTCTCTTCTCCATTCTCCCTGAAGCTGTAAACACCTCACACCTGGATTACTTTACTACCTGCCTTCTGGAGCCTCTAGGCCTCCAGTCTTCTATTTCTCAAATCCACTAGATATATCAATGCCACAATAATTCTTTGCATTTGTACTTCTCTGTTGAAGAATCCATCTGTTCTTTAATCAAGCACAAATTTCTTAGCATTCAAGGCATTCTATATGATTCTAATTTATTTACCCATCTTTTCATCACTTCAAATATAAAATTGCTTTTCCTGTTAAGTTTATCATCTCAATGTTCCTTCCTCCTCTGATACCAAATACACAATCATGCTATATCTTTCTTTATATCATTCTCCTACCCTACCATATCTTCCTTCTAGTTCTCTATCTACCAAATTCAATCTAAACTTCAGTATCCAGGTTAAGTTCCATTTTCTTTCCTGTTAATGAGTTTGCTAGGATATATTCCTTCTCTGAAGACAGTTAGCTAATCCACATATTTAACATTATATACAATACTATTATGTTCTCTTATAGTTTGTTGCTTCCTGATCTACCCCAACAATATTTTAAGTTTCCCATGATTAAGTAAAATCATATACCTCTTTTAGTCTCCCCTCCTTCCCATGGCACCCAATGTTGTTGCTGGGCACAGAGCAGATACTCAAAAAGTACTTATAGAATGATAGAGAATAAAATTATCTCTTCACGTATAGATTTTCTCCCAAGTTATATCTAAAGTTCTACATTGCTCATATTTAAAAGCAATGTTTTGTTTAATGATCTACACTGCTTATATTTAAAAGCAAAGTTTTGTTTAATGGTCAGGTTTAAATATTGTCTAAAGTTATCATTATCAGATTAAACATGAAAAGTCTTCTTAACTGGCTTTAAAAACTTCTTGAGAATGCTGGGGTTTGTGATATGAGATGTAATGCTAAAATAAAATGTTTCAAAGCTCAACTAAATCCAACATTTACATGTTATTTAAAAATGTTATCTTATGATTTAAAACACTTTCAATGTGTGAAAAAAGAATATTAGTAAAGAACATTACAAAAATCTTTAATTGGTGCACATTATTCATTCTCAGCCACAGCAATGACTACTCAGTAGTCCTATTCTACCTAAAACTTACTCTGCTGGTCTTCTACATTGCTGGTATGAATATAATTGGTAAAATCACTCTACAAAGCAACTCTGCAACACCTGTCAACATTTAAAAAGAATACAACACTTGCCCTAGCAATTTCATTTCAAGGAATTTATTCCATCAATATACTTACACAAGTGTACAAATAGGTACAATGTTATTAGCTGAAGCTTTGTATATAATAATAAAGAATATTTTCCAGAGCCTACATGTCCATTGTTGGAGGACTAATTAAGTAAATGATAATTCATCTATAAATGAAATATTATATAGCTATTAAAAAGAAGGAACCATGAAAATAACATAATTTGTATGTCAATTTTATCTCACTTTTTAAAATCAGTTGATCAATCAATAAAAAGAAGTAATCGGTTCATTTAAATATAGACATGGAGCCAACTTTGAGATATACTGAGAATGAAAAAAATAGAGTAAAACAAGGTCCTACTGTATAGCACAGGGAACTATATCAATATCCTGTGATAAACCATAATGGAAAAGAATATGAAGAAGAATATTTATACGTATAACTGAATCACTTTGCTGTACAGCAGAAATTAACACAACATTGTAAATCAACTATACTTCAATAAAAATTTTTTTTAAATGTAGAGGAATATATATCTCTACATTCACACTAGTATGAAGCATAATAGCTGTGCAGCAAATAACTACAATAGGCATTCAGAATGGAAATGTATCAATGTGAATTCATAGCCGGAAAGAAGGTATGCTACTACCCAAATTTAAGGAAAGAAAATATTAGTAATCTTTACTGAGATCTTCAACATTTATGACAGTAGAGTATATACCTATATGCATATACACAGAATATCTTTGCAAGGTTACTCAAGAAATTGGTAAGAGTTGTTGCCTTAAAGTGGGACACAGGAAGCAGGGGTAAGAGGAAACAGATTTCACTGTATGCTTTTGGCACTGCTTAAACTTAATAAAAATGTGCATATTAGCTATTCAAAAATAAGTACTTAATAAAAAAGAAATAAAAGAAAATAAAGCTTACCGGGCTGGACAAGTAGCTTTGTAGAGCTGACAAGACCTGCTTTCCTGCTCACTGATTTTTTTTAACTGGAAACCTTTTCTTCTTGGCCCATACTGACACTCCATTACCACAGCTCTACTCCCTGTGGGCCAAAACCAACTATTGATATTTAATTCAAGTATCCATCTGTTCTGGACACTAGATTAAAAATAACTTGGTGGTGGCAATGACAAAATCTATACTTCCAATTATACAACCTTAAGGAAAGAAAACATCAGTAAGACTTACTAAGATGTACAAACACATAAATTTAAAAGTTTATTGTAATAGTTACCAAATGTACCGCATTATGGTAAGGAAATTAGCAAATACCACATTTACTGACTGTCAACTGGTATTTACATATGTATGGTTTTTAATAATAAAATTTACTACTTTATAAGTAGAAATTAGCAAATGCTACATTTGTTAGTAAATATTAGTATCATTTAAAATTTTATTTCCTTTTATAATTCCTTATTTCTTTTTGAGCTGTTAGAATAATGTGATTACCAGCCTCTAAGATGGCTCCCAATGATCTCTGCCTCTTAGTACTCATGTCCTTGGTAATCCCCTCCCCTTGAGCATGAGCTAGACTTACTAACTTACTTCTACTGAACATGGCAGAAGTGACAGGATGTTATTTTTGATATTAGGTTATAAAAAGACTGTGACTTCCATCTTGGGTACTTTCTTGCTCTTGCTTGGATTCCTCTCTCCTGGTGAAATCAGATATCATGTGGTGAGACAGCTCTGTGAAGAGGCCCACCTGGCAAGGAATAAGGCCTGCCAACAGCCACATGAGTGAGCGTGGAAGCAGATCCTCCCCCAGTCAAGTCCTGAGACGACGGCAGATCCAGCCAACATCTTAATTGCAGTCTTGTGAGAGAACCTGGGGCAGAACCACCTTGTTAAGCTGCTCTTGGATTCCTGACCCATAGAAACTGTGAGACAATAAATGTTTGTTGTTTTCAACCACCACATTTGGGGTAATTTGTTACAGTACCATAGATAACACAAATAAGCAGAAGTGAAAACTATACAATCTAGGATTTTAAGTTGGATATCCTAATCTATGTAGGGTACAGAAAACTTTTCAAATATAAAACCCAAAACCCCAGGGATTTCCCTGATGGCCCAGTGATAGAATCCACCTTCCAATGCAGAGGACACAGGTTCGATCACTGGTCGGGGAATTAAGATCCCACCTGTCGCAGGGCAAGCAACGACAGAGCCCACGTGCTCTAGAGCCCACACGTCACAACCAGAGTGCCCACAAGCCGCAACCACTGAGCCTACATGCTCTAGAGCCTGCACAGCAAACTAGAGAGAAGCCCACGTGCCACAACGAAGAGCCCGCGTGCCGCAAGATCCCGCGTGCCACAACTAAGACCCAATGCAGCCAAATAAATAAATAAATATATATTTTTAAAAACCCTGAAAAACACCAACCATGAATAAAAATGTTGATAAGGCTGATAACTAACTTCTTCTAAATGATGGTAAAAGGAAAATCACAGTTTGAGAGACAATATTTTATAATACATAAAACAAAGAATATGCAGAATATAAAGAACCATAAATAATTTAAAAATAAAAACTAACTACCAAACAGAAAAATGGGCAAAGACTATGAATAGGCAATTCAGAAAGGAAACAAAAGGATATTAAATAAACAAAAAGACGCTCAACTTCACTAGTAAACAGGGAAATGCAAATTGAAACAATACTAAGGACTTCGCTGGTTGCACACTGGTTAAGAGTCCACCTGCCAATGCAGGAGACATGGGTTCAAGTCCTGGTCCGGGAAGATCCCACATGCCACGGAGCAACTAAGCCCGTGCGCCACAACTACTGAGCCTGCATTCTAGAACCCGCGAGCCATAACTACTGAGCCCGCGTTGCCACAACGACTGAAGCCCACACGCCTAGAGCCCGTGCTCCGCAACAAGAGAAGCCACCACAATGAGAAGCCCACACACTGCAATGAAGAGTAGCCCCCACTCGCCGCAACTACAGAAAGCCCATGTGCAGCAACAAAGACTCAACACAGCCAAAAATTAATTAATTAAAAAAAATAAAACAATAGTAAGATACTCTCTCACACTCTTCAAATTGGTAAACATAAAAAATTTGACAATACTCTAAAACAACTGAATCCACTGATCAATCTTACAGTTAAAAATGCTACATAGGTAGTGATAAGAAGTACACAGCACACCTATGAAGTATTCTCGCAAAATACTTTAATCAAGATTAAATCTTCATTTAATCAAACTCATACATCTAACAGACTACAGGAAATACAGGAGATAAAAGAACATGTTAAAAAACACTAGAGATAGAATCAGCAAAATCCTGAATATGGCAAAGTGTACAGGACAAACTACCTGGGGGAAAAGAGGAGAGAAGTTTTTAGATGAGAAGAAACTTAACCAAATTTGATCCATAAACTTGGTAACTTAACCAAATTTGATCCATAAACTTGGTTTGCATGTGAATTTATACAAACCTCTGCAAAAAGAATTATGGTAAGTGGAGAAATGTGAACAATGGACAACTTATGATATTAGGAAACTACTGTTCGGACTCCTTTGGTGGTCCAGTGGTTAAGACTCCACGCTTCCACTGCAGGGGGCATTGGGGAACTAAGATTCCACATGCCATGCAGCATGGCCAAAAAATTAAAAATTACAACATTAAAAAAAAAAAAGAAATTACTGTTAATTTTTTAAAGTGGGATAATAGGATATCCTTATATTTCAGATATATACTTTAATACCTTAAATACCTTATATACTTTTAGTAATTATTGATGAAACGATATCTGGAATTTCCTGTAAAATCATCTTTAGTAACTATAGATGAAATGATATCTGGAATTTCCTGAAGAAGTGGGTAGGGTTATAAATGACACAAGATTGACCACATGCTGATACTTGTTGAAGCTGGATGATGCATACACGGAGTTATGAGATTTCATACATTATTACCTCTACTTTGATATGCATATGAAAATTCCCATAGCATAAAGATTTTTAAAAATCTGACAATGTCAAATCATAGAATGAATGTGGGAAAGGGAAATCTTCATACATTGCTCAAAGGACTAAAAATTGATACAGGTTGTCATATTTAAACATATGATTCTCATATTTAAAAAGCATGGAAAACAAAAATTTTTGGAATACATTTGGCTGCAAAACCTGACCTGAACTTTATGAGGCTATTTATAGTCTTTATTCCTTTTAGTGTGGCTATGCATAATGAATTACTGTGTTTGATTATGTGATATTGTCTATGGAATACTTGCTAGGAGTATTCTGTAATATTACCATATTATAGTCCAAAAATACAGAATTCTGAAATACATTTGGGAAAAAAAAGTTTAGAGATTTTGGACCTGAACACCACCTTAGAGAGCAACTTGAGATAATCTTGTAAAGTAATTCCACTTTAATGCACACACTCTAGTAAACTACTTACAACTTTCCAACAGAAAACATGTATCATGGAGGTTAGACCATAGAATTCTTTGTAATATTGAAAAATTGGAAACAACCTAAATGATCATTAGTAGAAAAATAACTGCAGTTTGGTCATACGCTGGAATGACCAAATTTAAGTAATAGATTATTATATAATGTTAAATTATATAATAATTAAATTGGGTTAACTAGAATTTATAGTTATCAATATGGATAGATTTCAAAAATAAGAATGAGTGAAAAGTTTACCTAAGAATATCTATAGTTTATTACTTACACATACTTTAAAATGTTCAAAACAATAAAATATATTATTATAAATACAAACATGTATGATAAAGTATAAAAATACACACCAAATTCATGTAGTAGCTGCCTGAGGGGAGTTAAGAAGGGATTTTAAACTGGGGAGGAGAATAAAATCTGGGCAGAAGGGGTTACATTTACCTCAGCTTCCTCTAAGTAGTTCTCTTTACCCTCAGAGGTCCAGGATGAGGCTGCAACTCTTCTAGTTAAATCAATGCCCCCATATTTCTCAAATAAATCACTTATTCTTAGGTTCTTTGGGGTCTGACTAGTCCTAGGGTGACTCTCTGGAAATTGTCTGAAACTCTACTGCTTTAGTAAACACTAGCCCAGTGTTTGAGAATGCTGTATGTAACATACCTGATACTTGAGAACCCTAATATTAGAATTCTATATAATAACTCCAGATTGTATACCAGTTCTATACAGTAACTCCTGAGTTATACACTATATAAAATGGACACCGATTTTTTTCCCAAAAGACAAATCAAGAGAGAACGAGAGACTATCAGGATTGGATGGGAAAAAAAAAAAAACCAACCAGCTATACATATTTAAAATAATAAAACTGCTCTATCGTTTGATTTTTATTAAATAGGTCTACCCGGAATTTAAATATTTTTTACTTTCTATTTTTCAGTATGAAGTATTATTTATTTACCCTAATATACTAAAATACAATTTTACAACATAAAATAATTGGTTATATTTACTGTAAGTTTTCTTTTTAGTTTAATATGCATTTTCACCAATTAACAGTCAGTTGTCATCTACCAAAATGAAAATGTTATCACCTTAGGAAAACCACATTTTCACAACAGATCATGGCTGCTGCTGAACTTCTTAAAATAAATCTTTAAAAAAGTACCTGCATTGACAAATGGGATTCCATCATATGGGACATACTGGGATTTCCACATCAAGCGTGTAGCTGGCTTGGCTGGGCTTGGAGATTGGCGGGTCCCCCAAACACTCTGTGTTTGCTGCTTGTGAAATGTTAGGACACTTTCTAATTCAGTCTCACTTACACAGTAGCCACGGTATGAATCTCCAATTTTCTGCATATAGAAATTCACACACATATCACTTATTCAGATATACATTTCTTACTTCCATTTTATGGTTCCATTCTTGTTCTTTATTCTTTAGCTCCCACTTTTAACTTCCACCTTGCTAATATATTTTTAAGTATTTTTGTAAGCTGTCTTAAATTCTTCCTGAAATAAGGCAAGGTATAAACAAATCATGTAAATAAATTGATATTATCTATCCACAACCTTGTGAGTATCCCTCAACTAGAAGAAAAGCTTTTTCTATACCCAGAGAAATTTTTTAACTGTGATCTCTTAAACTGAAATGCATTTAGACCTAGAATTGATTCCAGGTATGTTTCTCCCTTATAGGGAATAAGAGCAGAGATGTGGAATAGAGATCTTTTTCCTCCTAATTAGACTAAACATTTCACCTGGCAAGAATACATTTAACAAAAGGAAGGTATCAACATACTGTTGTAGGTATACTTTGAGCCATAATAAAAAGAGATATTCTGATTCCAAACAATACATTATCTACAATTTCCCCTAAAAATAACGAAAATGCCTATGCTTATGAATTTTCTTCTAGCCTAGATATTTCCTCATCAAAATATCCCTACAAATAAAAGTAGGAACATTAACTCTAGCTATAGCATGTTTTTACAAATAAAATGAATACAGCATATAATGTTGTTAATGAAAGGAAAAATTCAGAATTAGTACAATGCAGTCAGACCCATATCAGGAGATAAAAGTTTAATGCAGTATTGAAATTTGTCCAACTAACAGATTTTGGTCAAATCTAAAAAATGCCTATAAGAAAAACACCTTTAAATGGAAATTCAAAAAGTAAAAAGAACTACTAAGCAATATTTTTAAGCAAAATGCAGAAAATATTTCTTCAGCCATTAACCAAAAATGTTTTTCACTATTGATATAGCTTGGAGAAAAAGAATCCTTCAATCTTTGAGATAATTCAGGCTGCTGGACAGTTTTAACTAATTTCTTACAAGATATATGATGTTAGATTAGCTACACAATGTACCATGGTGTAAAATGAAGTAATTTGGCCACATAATTGCTAATGCTTTAATGTCCATAGCATTTCATAAAGTTTATAATAATGATGTTAAAAACCCTCATCAAACGACAAGAATAGTACCTTTAGGAAACCAGTGAAAAACTATGACTAACAAAAAGTGTGAAGGGAAAAAAAATCTTACTGTCTATACATACATACGTACGTAACACTTAGAAAAGCAACAACAGTGATGATGTCCTAACAAATGTAATACATCATTAGACTTCATGATTAGAAATTTTCTCAAAACATTAAAACTCAAGTAATGTTTTTCCTTGCCATATTTTAAGATTTGTTTAAAACAATGAAGCATTTTAATAATTAAATACTCATTACCATATATGGTTTATATGTAGAAGTGCATGGTCCTTTTCCACAAAAAGTGTATAGTCTAAAAGGTATATAATAGTGAACAACCCAAGCTAGCAAATAATTAAGAATGGTAATGGTAATAATTATCAAAGAATTTTAAGAGATAAATAAGGACTTCCCCAGTGGCGCAGTGGATAAGACTCCGCGCTCCCAATGCAGGGGGCCCCAGGTTTGATCCCTGGTTAGGGAACTAGATCCCACATGCATGCTGCAACTAAGAGTTTGCATGTCACAACTAAGGAGCCCGTGAGCTGCAACTAAGGAGCCTGCCTGCCGCAACTAAGAGCCGACACAACCAAATAAATACATAAATAAAATTTTAAGAGATAAATAGGTAAAAGATAAAGTAATCATTAGACTATTACAGAAAAGACATATAGGACTTGCATTGGGATTTGAAGAATAGTAGTTAGAAAGGTTAGTAGAAGAAAAAATAACATATTAGGAAATGGAAATAAACACAAGTGAAGGAGGAGATAAAGGAAGATTCTGAAGTGTGTGTACCAAGTAGGAATACTTGGCCAACACGAATGAAAGATGAATTGGAGAAAAGCAGGAAATAAAAAAGGATAAGATAAGGTGATACCTGATTATAGAAGACCTTGAAAGCTAGTAACAAGTGGCTAAATGATGTGGAAAAATAACACTGAGCTTATTGGGCAGTGAGAAAAGACAATGAAAGTAATATTTAAAGATAAGTAGTTTTAGAAAACTACACAGTAAGGACTAGAAATGGAAAAGTCAAAGAGATTAATGGGAAGGCTGTTACCATAATTGAGTTCAAGATAACAAAGGTCTGTGGGAAAAGCTCCCTTTAAACCACTTTAAAGAAAAAAACTAAAAGAATCAGGTGACTATCTGAATATGGGAAAGGAAGAAATTAGTCTAAAACTTTGTATCTATGGAGATGGTATTTGTTATTACACAGACAAGGAATTTAGGAAGTAGAGCTAGTTGTGGTATGGCAGATAATTTCTCTTTAGATATGGTGAATTTGAGGTGAAATCTAAGTAAAGCTTCAAGTAAGTAGCTAGAGATCTGGGACAAAAGCAAGGGCAGAATTAAAGAACTGGTGATAGAGATTTGGGAATCATTTTTATAAAACTGAGAATTGAAAGTCAACAAAGCTGTTAAGCTCTACAAGGGATAAAATGTAGAGAAATAAGACAAGGTCAAATGGTGACTCTTGAAGAATTTCTGCTGAGAATATGAAAAGAAATAAATGCCAAGCAAAGAAACAGAAGGAATGATTAAAGGATAAAAAGTAGAGAAACATGATAGTGAAGTTTTATGGAAGACAAGGGAAAAGAGTTGTAAGAGAAGAAATGAAATGACAGTGAAGTGTGAAGGGATTTATAAGATCTCTGCTTTAACAGAGCTTACAAGCTCTAAGGAATAAAAGAGTTAGCACAAACATGAACAAAATATTACAGATACAGCTTCTATTAGTTGTACTCAAAAGTGGACATTTTGGGATGAATTGTAGTTATAATCAACTAAGTGAATCTACATAAGGATTATTTTTTAACTCACCTCACAGCTCCTAAGACGACAGGCCCATATAGGTGTGTTAGAAGAAAGTGACTGGAGTGGAGCCAAAAAGGGTTCTTCAAGTATTCTGGGATGGGGGGGCATATATAAATATATATTACAAGTTACACACACACACACACACACACATACACACACACAGCATTCAGTTGCTTTATCCTCTTAGCCAGTCAAAGACAATACTGAGGTCATCAATTACAAATTGTAATAATAATGGCAGATCGGTCTGATGGATGTAATTATGCTTTTTTTAATCATTACTATTTCATCAATTGCTAAAGCAAAAGTCTAACTTTGTTCTTCCAAATACCTGTAGTTTCAACAAATTCAAGTGTTTTATATATCTTTCTCAGAGCTTATTTTGTATTCTCACATAATTATTTTTCATTTAACAAAAAATGAGTCAATAAACCATCTTCAGGTGACTTATTAACAGTAACAAGATATTACGTCAAGTTCTAAAGTTAAATGTCACAAATATTATGTTACCTTTAAAATATTTTCATAGAACAATTAAAATATAATACAAAACCCATGTCTATATTTCCCTAAATTATTATAAACAGTGTTATTTTTAGGCAAAAGTAAAAGCTGAAATAGACATTAACAAAAAACATTTTAAACACTTTACCACAGAGGAATTAAATGCATAAAAATGTGATGAACCATTAAAAATTATAGGACCTAGAATGGATATTTCTTTTTTTAAAAAACTGTATTAGTGCCAGATGTTTACAGATTGCTTCAAAAGATAACAGGCAAATGTCACCGAGGAAAAGTAGCACGTTGGCCTTTTATAGATTCTAAAGTAGCTCCCTTATTGCCAAGATGTTATTAAAATGATTAAGGATGTATTTGATGATGGTTTATTCTATTTTCTGAATTTCTGATCTTTTCTATAGTCAGCCAGCTTTAAATGTGATAATGTAAAGAGAGATTTCCATGGTGATGTTCAAAGATGAGCTCCTCTTTCTCATTGACTCACCTGGTCACTGTCTTTTTGGGCAATGTGAGGGATGCATGTGGATGAAGAATGTAACTACTGTTATTGTCTGCTAGAGAATCCACTCTTACAGTTGGTAAGTTTCCGTCACTGGGTTTCTCTTCAGAGACATCTTAACAATAAGAACAAGAACAAAGCAACATCAATATCTTGAATAAGACCATGAGAATGTAATGAACTGGAACTAATACATTTGAAATAGGAAAGATATACTCTGAAGCTAAAGATAATAAAACTTATACTTTATTGAGAATTTCTCTGATAAACTTGTTTACTTTTAAACTGTAATACTGACTACTAAAGTTTTGGAACTTATATTGAACAGCTAGGATATAAAAGTGGTAGAAATAATTGTTATATTAATAGTATCACAATATAATAGGAAAATGTAAGACTAATTCTTTTAGTTTTTATACCATGTTTGTAATGTTTTCTGCAAACTATGTTTTCTTTTCCTTAAGTTGTAACAACTGTTATCAAAGACAAAGAATCATAACACTAAAGTAAGAATTATTTGCCCTAAACCATTATCTATGAAAACATGACAACAGTGTAGCTATGATGTTAGAAAAGAGATTCAAATAGATGGAAAAGGAAGGGAAGAAAAAGGAAAAGAACGAATAGGGATAATATCAAATAGGTAGAAAAAGAATAAAATAAAAAGAAATAGGGGGACTTCCCTGGTGGTGCAGTGGTTAATAATCTGCCTGCCAATGCAGGGGGCACAAGTACGAGCCCTGGTCCAGGAAGATCCCACATGCCACGGAACAACTAAGCCCATGTGCCACAACTACTGAGCCTGCACTCTAGAGCCCATGAGCCACAAGTACTGAGCCCACATGCCACAGCTACTGAAGCCCACACGCCTAGAGCCCACGCTCTGCAACAAAAGAAGCCACCGCAATGAGAAGCCCGCACACCACAACAAAGAGTAGCCCCTGCTCGCTGCAATTAGAGAAAGCCCACATGCAGCAACAAAGACCCAACACGTACAAAAATAAAAAATAAATAAATACGGACTTCCCTGGTGGTGCAGAGGTTAAGAATCCGCCTGCCAATGCAGGGGACATGGGTTCGAACCCTGGTCCGGGAAGATCCCACATGCCGCAGAGCAACTAAGCCTGTGCTCTAGAGCCCATGAGCCACAACTACTGACCCCACAAGCCTAGAGCCCATGTTCCACAACAAGAGAAGCCACTGCAATGAGAAGCCCGCACACCACAACGAAGAGCAGCCCCCGCTCGCCACAACTAGAGAAAGCCCATGCACAGCAACGAAGACCCAATGCAGCCAAAAAATAAATTAATTAAAATAAATAAATTTATTAAAAAAAAATGGGGAGTATGATTCTTTCTGAATCTGAAGGAACAAAGAGGAAAAAAGCAAAGAGGATGAGAAGAATAGTTAAAAAAAAAAGTGTCACATGTCTAACAACATTGATAAAAATATAAAATAAAAATTTCTCCAGTAGTTATTAGCACCATGTTCGTGTTATTGTTGCTGTCATTATTACTGTTATTAAAATTAAGAAGAATTTATTTTATGCTCACTGGTCATTTGGGAGGAAGCAAGAGTCAACCAGCTTCACAGAATTCCAAAATGAAATAGACAGCTAACCTAGACAGGAGTTGAAAAATGAACTTGAAATTTATTTGGGCTAAGAAACTTTTTCTAATCATTCAGTTCACAATCTTACCCAAAGAGATCAATTTTAGCACTGACTTTCATGAGGTGATTTTCTGAATATACGTTTATTATTTAAAACGTTCTTAAATCCCCTATATCCCATGATTACTCACCCTGAGGACTATTCACATCCACAAGCTGCCCCTGAGGTACAATCACTTGTGTCGTTCCTGTCTGGGTAGATGGAATTACACGCAGCACCTGTCCATTTTCTGATGGGCTGGCAACAATCATCTTGGAGGCATTTTAAAAAAATCAAATGCATAAGTCTACAATGATTCAAAAGAATCATTACTTAAAAAATTAGTAGACATGCCTACCTCTACAGCAGATACTATCATTTTCTTCGCTTTATAGATGAAAACACTGAGGTACCTAAAAATTTTTTCCCAAAGTCTCACAATTGATAAGTGGTAAAGCTAGGATTCAAAACAGGCAGTTTGATCCTATGTCCTATGATCTTAACCACCTATGATCTTAATCATTACATGGACGTGAGGTCTAATTACTTAGTAACCTGAACACGTAAGTCTCTAACTACACTAAATATATTTACTTTTTTCTACTTACTGTATTATCCACACGTTTGACCTATTTGTGTGATAATCACTGGTCTCATATTTTAAGTCATTTTCATTTAAAAACAGTAACTTAGATGTCTAATTAAACAGGATTTATTTTTATATCTCTGCATTTTTATATATCCTGTCTTGGTCTATAAGGAATACTACAGAGTGACCCAAAAGTCTGAAAACATAAGGGAATTGTATATTTATTATTTCCTTTGGTGTTTTTGTTTGTTTTTTTCAGTTTAACAAATGAACTCCTTGCCTCAAATTTAGAGGAATGTCAACTAAGAAAGCGTCTAAAGTTGAAGGAAAACATTTTGAGCCTATCATTTAAAAATATAACTAATATATTATTTAAAATTAAGTTTATCCTATATTTCCAGACCTTCTGGATACCTTGTAAACTTTATTACCTAAAAACTACTCTTCTACTAACAGTTTTACTGTTTTACCTGAAATCCCCTGTCCTCAGTTTTCCCTAGGGCAAATAACTGTCCTTAATCATTCCAACCCACTTTCTCAAACTTCCCTTTTGCTATGTAAAACATGAAAACTTTGCTGATGGCCTGATAGAGACGGCATCACTTTTAGAGAGGGTCATTTGAAAAACTTTAAATTTGGGAAAAAAAAAAACCACCCTTAAACCTCAACAAAACAGAAAGCTTTCACTATAATCATAAACATTTCCCAGAAATTAAGAGTAGAAATTTTTTCCTTCCCTCAGTGTTTGTCAAGTTTCTTGAGATAAAAATATCTTGCCATATCTCTTATACCTCTTATTACTTCAGCATGAAAATCAACTGTAAACTCTGAGGATGATAATTCCTTTTCATTTGTGGAGTTCATACTAAGCAGCAGGACTTTACATGGATCGGGTTGGCCAAAAGGTTCGTTTGGTTTTTTCTGTAAGATGGCTCTAGTAGCACTTAGTTGACTTTAACTTCATTCAAAACAATTTTGTTAGATTTTATGTGACAGCTGTCATATCAGTGTGCATTTAAAAAAAGACTGATCAAAATTGGTGAATTTTTTTATAAATGTTTATTGGCATCATAATTTTTTTTTTTTTTGGTTGCGCCAGGTTCTAGTTGCTGCCGGTGGGCTCCTTAGTTGCAGCACGTGGGCTCCTCAATTGCGGCCAGTGGGCTCCTTAGTTGCAGAATGTGAACTCTTAGTTGCTTCGTGCATGTAGGATCTAGTTCCCTGACCAGGGATGGAACCTGGGCCCCCTGCAATGGGATCTCGGAGTCTTAACCGCTGTGCTGCCAGGGAAGTCCCAAAATTGGTGAATTTTTGTGTAGCCATTTTAATACTGAAGATGGAAGGAAAAAAACCCAACATTTTTGGCATATTATGCACTTTATTATTTCAAGAAAGGTAAAAATGCAACTGAAACGCAAAAAAAGATTTGTGCAGTGGCATGGAGAAGGCGCTGTGTCTGACTGAATGTGTCAAAAGTGGTTTGCGAGCTTCCCTGGTGGCGCAGTGGTTGAGAGTCCGCCTGCCGATGCAGGGGACACGGGTTTGTGCCCCGGTCTGGGAAGATCCCACGTGCCGCGGAGCGGCTGGGCCCATGAGCCGGAGCCTGTGCTCCGCGACGGGAGAGGCCCCAATAGTGAGAGGCCCGTGTACCGCAAAAAAAAAAAAAAAAAAAAAGTGGTTTGCGAAGTTTCGTGCTGGAGATTTCTCGCTGGATGATGCTCCACGGTCAGGTAGGCCAGTTGAAGTTGATAGCGATCAAATCGAGACATTGAGAATAATCAACGTTATACCACACAGGAGATAGCCGACATACTCATAATATCCAAATCAAGCGCTGAAAATCATTTGCGCCAGCTTGGTTATGTGAATCGCTTTGATGTTTGGGTTCCACATAAATTAAGCAAAAAAACCCTTCTTGACCGTATTCCCGCATGCGATTCTCTACTTAAACGTAATGAAAACGTTCCATTTTTAAAACAAATTGTGACCGGCAATGAAAAGTGGATACTGTACAATAATGTGGAACAGAAGAGATTGTGGGGCAAGCGAAATGAACCTACACCAAAGGCCGGTCTTCATCCAAAGAAGGTGAGGTTGTGTATATGGTGGGATTGGAAGGGAGTCCTCTATTATGAGCTCCTTCTGGAAAACCAAATGATTAATTCCAACAAGTACTGCTCCCAATTAGACCAACTGAAAGCAGCACCCGACGAAAAGCATCCGGAATTAGTCAACAGAAAATGCATAATCTTCCATCAGGATAACGCAAGGCCACATGTTTCTTTGATGACCAGGCAAAAACTGTTACAGCTTAGCTGGGAAGTGCTGATTCATTCACCATATTCACCAGACATTGCACCTTCGGATTTCCATTTATTTAGATCTTTAAAAAATTCTCTTAATGGAAAAAATTTCAATCCCCTGGAAGACTGTAAAAGGCACCTGCAAGAGTTCTTTGCTCAAAAAGATAAAAAGTTTTGGGAAGATGGAATTATGAAGTTGCCTGAAAAATGGCAGAAAGTAGTGGAACAAAAGGGTGAATACATTGTTCAATAAAGTTCTTGGTGAAAACGAAAAATGTGTCTTTTATTTTTACTTAAAAACCAAAGGCACTTTTTGGCCAACCCAATATTATGTTATTTAATCTTCATCACATGTATACGAACTATATACATTTTATACATGCGGAAATTGCAACACAGTATTTACAAAACTCATTCAAGGTAACTCAGAGCTATATAGTCCTGAGCTGAAATTCAAACCCAAGCAGTCTGACTCCTTTTAACCACTACTTTGTACTGTCTCCCAATATCTGATGATGTTACTTAACCTAAAAAAAGACAAAAATAAAACAATACGAAAACCCTACTGGACTTCAAAAGGCAATAGTAATAATACTGTTGTTAATTCTTTACTCCCTGTAAATGAGATTAAATATGTGTGAAAATTTTTCATTCATTCTTAGAAAATAAGAGTGCTGTGGTTATTTTTAAATCCAAATAAAACACATATAATAAAGTTATAATTTATTCAATCATATGAAAATTTCATAATTAAGACTGATCTGTGGAATATCCCCTTAATTTTGAAACTGTTTCCCAAGCACAGTGGAAAAGCATCTCCTCCATTTTCTGTTTCCTTAGCTTATTCCACCTGTTACCTAAAAACCTATTTTTAATTCATATAATTTGACAATGGTGATGATAATACTACTTTTTCTATTACCAAAAAAAGTAATTATCTTTAATCTTTGCTATGAAAATAAACATAGTTTTGAAGAGTCATCTGCTGCAATACATTTTCTTTGAGGCCGACCATGAAAATCACCAGAAAATCTTGGCTAATGAGTAGTTTTATATTTACTGTGCTCTTTGTGTACAATATTTCTAGTAAATGAAAAATATCATCCCTGCTTCACTCCAAAACCTCCTCTCATCCACTGCAGATTTACCCACTACAGAATCTTTACTAGTTCCGTGAAAGCTTCTATGTGAAAAAAATCATACTTCAAAACAAACGAACAAAAAAGTCATTTTTTACAAAAAGCTCCACTTGGTGGAGACTTTGATAATGGGAAGACTATGCATATATGGAGGCTGGGGGTATATGGGAACTCTCTGTATTTTCTTCTCATTTTGCTGTGAACCTAAAACTGCTCTTAAAATTAAAGTCTATTAAAATAAACAATAAAAACAAAAAATCTCCACTAAGTTTCCCGGAATATCACCACCTTCTGATCTTTGGTTCTTTGGAGAAGATAGCTTCTAACACTCCATGTTCCTTACATTTATTTTCATGCTCATGCCACATGTTTCCTATTTCACAACTTCAAGCAACCCTCTGTATCATCTCCTACCGCAAACAATGTAAAATCACCTTTATAATCACTTCAGATAGAACGTTTAATACAATTACAAAGAGAATGGGAACTCGAACTTTTTTCAGACCCAGACAAATAAGCAACTTTAACATGCTTTTTAGGAAAGGTACCATGTGTAAAATGATAACCCTTCATACATTTAGACTCTTTTATCCTTCCATTAGAACACACAGACTTTCTAAATGTTCTGATAGAAACTAGAATAAATGTCAAATAAGAGGGGAAATTACAGAAGTATTTCATTTTGAACATGAAATATTAAAATGTATTGGTTCACATCTAGATTATTTGTTGCATATTAACCTCTGCTGGTGATGCAGTATGATTACAGAAGCTTACCCTAACTTTGCATTTCAGTCCTGAAGTAAGCCCAGAAATATGTTGAGCCTGAACATACACACAAAAAAGTTGTCTACAGTCAGCCACCTCTCAACCAATTACTCTCAATGCCCAAATTTAGCTGAATTATAAGGGAGCAAAAGGACATAGATTAACTCTAGAATGCTCTAGACTAGAAACAAAAATAAGAATTTTGGGTTATATGCTTGCCTACTTAAGTATAATTTATAATTGAAGTTATGATTTTAAAAATAATTTTTATTATTGAATTAAAATTTGTTGTAGAAAATTTGGAAAATACAGGCAAACAAAGAGATACATTATTCTTCATATTATTACTGATATAAATATATTATTAGTCAGAGAGCAATTTAGAACTTTTTCTCATTAATTTTATTTGAATCAAAACCATCTATCACCACATCTATTCAACTGTGAACTTGGTCGTACATATTTTTGGCTAACAGTTTAAAGCAGCACTGTCAACTTTATGCATTGTTATTCACACGACACCTACATATCTACTTACAAAGATCAGTAAGGGTATGTCTAAATTCCATTATTCCACTGGTACTTCCATTGCTTTCTTTTTCTTCAAGAAAGCATACCAGCATGTGGCACACAAATCAGTAACTGAGATGTTGATAGAGCAAACAACACTGAGTTCAGTCAAATGTATATACAAAAAATAAATGTAAGTTATATGTAAGCTCTGGGACTTTAGCACTGGTGACAGATTATATTACATTTCCAACTGATCTCAAAGTACCAGTTTGCCTAGACATAGTAGCTGGGACCTACTGGTTTGAAGTACTCTGTAGTCCTGAAAGGAAATCTTTTAAAATCCTTATATAACTTAAAAATGAATGTCATGGAAACAGTATTTTCAAAGCAATGTAAAGCAATAGTGTCAAGAAATTAAGGTCATCTAGTAAAACTAATACATTTTGCCAAATAGCAGAAAACTGGTTATTTTAAAAACGTACTCACCATTTGCTCATTAGAATCCCCCAATGACTGAAGCTCATATTGAATAGGTTGCCCATTTTGGTCCACTAGGTGGAATTGCTCTGCAGAAAGAGTCTGCGTCTGAGTCAGGGGCCCTGGTATATTCTGTGATGTGAGTGAATTATCCACTGCAGTAGTAATGGGTAAAACTCTAGGGGAACCATCTTGTCCAAAAGAAGGCTCACTGGAGTCCATACAGCTTAGATGCTTTTGCAAAGAAAAAAAAAAATCACTTGAGTGTTTGTAAAATAAGTTACAATTTTTAAAAAATAGAATGTTTTTAATAAAAGATGGAGACACATTCATTTTTCAGTTAATTATTCACTTTACTTTTTGCAAGGGTTATCAATTCACAGACTGATATAGACAGAAGTTCTTAAGTGAAACTGTTGATTTTTATTATATTTTATTTCTAATAGTCCAAAGGAATACAATGTGAAATGATGAAATATTTATAATTCAATATGCAGATTTTTCTTTACATATAAACTTTCACAAATACATTAAAGCTCTATATTATAAAATTAAATGATAGAATTATTAAAAATTAAATGTTAGAATTCTTGAATACATTAAATATAACACTATTCCTTAAACATAAAAAATCCAATTGCATGCCGCTTTCCCTTTAAACGGAAAAAAGTTCCCAGTTGAATCCCTACTTCAAATACCTGAGAATCGGTTTTTGACTCTTCGGAATCATTATGGTTGACTCTTAATGAATCAACAGACTGTTCCATGCTGGTATCATATTCAATTCCATTTTCTTCTATTATTTAATACCTGAAAGATTTTAAATATCTGATCAACTAAAGCACTTAACATTTTAATAGAATGTTTGTCTTAAATAAATTTCTCATCTCCCCTACTGTGTTACCCTATACAATTTAGGTTAAATCATTTACACCCTATAAGATCAATAAAACGAACATTCTTGTTAAATAATTTGCAAAGGCACCAGAATAAATTCAAGACAGAGCAAAAAATTAGTGTTATGTAGTTTCCTCACCCTATCCTTAATTGCACTCATGTACTGGTTTATTAAGGTTGCTGCTATGTGACAGGTACTGTTGTTACACCCTTTCAAATTCTTCTAAAATTCTCATTTTACAAAGATGTAATCTAAATAAAAGCTTTTAATTTTATGAGGTGTGCCCTATCATAGCATTAGATAATTTTAAAAGAGATCTCTTGGTACAGGAGGAGATTATATACATACAACTCTTACCATAACATACAATTATACCACTTAATATTAGCATGACAAGCTTTGAAAATGAAGAAATATGTATTCTAAAAAGGTTGAGCCACTTAGGCCTAGTACAGTCGTTTTCCACTGGTGGTGATTTTGCCCCCACACATACCCCCAACACCCCCTAGTCGCCTGGGGATACTGGGCAATGTCTAGAAACTTTTTTGGTTGTCACAACTGGAGGGGGTGCTACTGGTATCTAATGAGCAGAAGTTAGGGGAACTGCTAAACACCTTGCAACGTACAGGACAGCCTCCACATAAAGATGTCAATGGTGCTGAGGTTCAGAAACCCTGGCCTAGTATAGTATAGTGACTAATGGATTCTGTATGATCTAAAAAGAATGATGTTTTATGACTCAAAATTGGAGTAAAGTCAAAATGAAACTGCTGAAGAACACCACTGAAAAATTTATAATATAAAATAAACTTCATAAAATCTTTTTTAAGAACCCAACCCTATAATTTTATTTTTCGAAAGACAGCATAAATTATTTTTTAAAAATCTTTAAAATTTTATTTTTAAATTTACATGCATTAATTGAACTCTTTTTTTGATGTATAGCTCTATGAATTTTAACACAGATAACCGTCATCACAATCGGGATACACGATAATTCCATCACTCTAAACCCTAATTTACATTTATACCTGTATTTAAGACTTATTTAGTATATGTACTTGGATACAATGAAAACTTATTTTTCTGTGATAGCATCCAAACATATATTTGTAAAATTAACCATTTCAGAAAATCTGCAAGGTTTCCTATTTCATATCTTTAAGATATTATAAATAATTCTACTCAAATATAAATTGTAAAATGCTATAAAATCAGTCTTATTTTTAATATATAACTATAAAATATCTTAAAATTGCTTCTCCTTAAAGATTTTAAATTATCCCTTGTATTCTAATTTAATGTATTACAAAAATTCCAAAAACCTGTAGTTACCTCTAGGGCTATAAAAGTAAGAGCAATTTTAGTTTATAACTTTCTGTTCTGTTTTGAATTTTTTATACTATACATATATTACTTAACATTAATATTTTATAGAAGGGGTTTAAAAAATAGAAAGGAAGTTTCACTAATGCCAATACAGCAGATTAGACACTGTAGAAAGCTCTCTTGCTAGAAAACAAAAAATAGAAAGTTGATGTAAAACAAAACATTTCGTGGCTGGGAGCTACTATAGGAAGTAACAAAAATGAGAGGCCACTCCCTGCCCTCTCCCACTCTGCCCACCCCCCCACTCCCCAAAATAAAAGCAAAAGCTGTGATCTAAAACCTAAGTGATGAGCACAAGCAAGGAGGAAAATTTCAAGGGCAGTGCTGCTAATAAACACTGTGCCTGGGAAATGGGCTTGGATAAACAGCTGGTAGGGGAGGAGAACTTAAAACTCCCAAGGTAAGACTAAGAACCTGAAAGATCCTGGTAAGCCAATAATGTACCCTGGCTTCTGGTGAGAACAAATGCAGTTATTATTTGGAGGAACACAAACACAGTTAAGACTTTAGTTTCCTTTCACATTAAGATCAATCAAATATAAGCTTACAATCAAAGAGTGCCAAAAACACAAAGAAATAAGCCATCATAAGAAGGAGTCAGCAGATTTAGATCCCCCTAAAAACTTCAAATATTGGAACCATGTAATACTGAATATAAAACAATTATTTAATATTCAAAGAAATAAAAGAATGAGTCATAGGAATAAGGAAGCAACAAGAGACTATCAAAAGTTTCATTTGAAAGAGAACCAAACAGAACTTTCAGCAATGAAAAATGTAATTACTGAAATTAAAAAGTCAATGGATAAATTAAGTAGAAAGTTAGAGGCAGAAGAAAGAATTACTAAATTAGAAGACAGGCTTTAAAAGTTACCCAGGGATTCCCTGGTGGCGCATTGGTTGAGAGTCCACCTGCCGATGCAGGGGACACGGGTTTGTGCCCCCATCCGGGAAGATCCCATATGCCGCAGAGCAGCTAGGCCCATAAGCCATGGCCGCTGAGCCCGTGAGTCCGGAGCCTGTGCTCCGCAATGGGAGAGGTCACAACAGTGAGAGGGCCGCGTACCGCAAAATAAATAAATAAATAAATAAATAAAAATTACCCAGAATGCATCATAAGTAAAACAGAATATTAAAAAATACAAAGAACACACTTCAAACTAGGAAAATAGAAGAAGAAAGTATAGCATACCTATAATTGGAGTCTCAGAAGAATAAAAAGAAAAAATGGACGAGAGACAATATGTGACGAGATAATGGCTGACCATTTTTCAAAACTGAAGACATGAATCTACAGAAAAAGGAAGCACAAAATGTACCAAGATAAATCAAAAGAAATCCATACCAAATGTAGCAAAGTACAAAATTCTAAAGAAAAACAGAAAAAATCTAAAATGCAGCCAGAGAGATACGATCACCTACAGAGTATTAACATTAGATATACATCAGACTATTCAATAGCAACAATGGCCATAGAAGTCACAAGAATAATAAAAAACTAACTTTCAGTATATAATTGTATATGCTCAAAGCTACTTTTTCACAAGAGGATGAAAGACATTTTTAAGATTAAAAAACTGAGTTTATAATGAACAGATCTTACACAAAAGCAATTCCTAAAGAAGTAGAAAATAAAAATGATACCAGAAGGCAGTCCTGAAATGCTAGAAAAATGGTAAGCAAATAAATTAATAACTCTAAGAAAAACCTAAATAAACACTGTCTGTATAAATAATACTATTACAATTTTGTGTATCTGTGTTTTAATGATAGAAATAAAATACTGGAGAACTAAATAAAATAATTAACTCAAGGGGGTGATGACAGATAAACACAATACATCAAAACTTATAAGATGGGGCTTCCCTGGTGGCACAGTGGTTGAGAGTCCGCCTGCCGATGCAGGGGACAGGGGTTCGTGCCCCGTTCCGCGAAGATCGCACATGCCACGGAGCGGTTGGGCCCGTGAGCCATGGCCGCTGAGCCTGGGCTTCCGGAGCCTGTGCTCCACAACGGGAGAGGCCACAACAGAGAGAGGCCCGCGTACCGCAAAAAAAAAAAAAAAAAAAAAAAAAAAAAACCTTATAGGATGCAGGGAAAGCAGCTCGTTCTTCACAATTTCAAAAATCACTACAAAGCTAAGGTTTACGAAAGAATGTGGTACTGACATAAGGATAGACATGTAGATCAACAAAATAGAATTGAGAGTCCAGAAATAAACTCATACATCTCTGACCAAATTATTTTCAACAAGGGTTCCAAAAGCATTCGATGGGGAATGAAGTCTCTTCAACAAATGGTGCAGGGACAATTGAATAGCCGCATACAACACAATTAAAATGCACCCCTACCTCATAATATATGGTTGACCCTTGAACAACACAGGAGTTAATGGCACCAACTCTCTGCACAGTGGAAAATTCATGTACAACTTTACAGTTGGCCCTCCATATCTGCAGTTCTGCATCTGTGAATTTAACCAACTGTGGATTGTACAGTACTATACTATGTATTTACTGAAAAAAGTCCAAGTATAAACGGACCCACACAGTTCAAATCCATGTTGTTTAAGGGTCAACTGTATACCAAAAATGAACAAAAAGGGATCAGAGACCTAATAAGAGCTAAAACCATATAATTTTTAGAGGAAAACAAAAGAATAAAAGCTTAATGACCTTGGATTTAGATATGACACCAGAAGGATAAATGTCAAAAGAAAAAAATAGATAAATTGGACATTAGCAAGATAAAAGCTTTTTGCACAAAGGATACCATGACATGAGTAAAAAGACAAGCCACAGATGGGAGAAAATATTTGCAAATCAAATATCTGATAAGGGTCTAGAATATACAAACGTCTCTTACGACCCAACAGAAAAAAGACAACCCCAGGGACTTCCTTGGTGGCACAGTGGTTAAGAATCCGCCTGCCAACACAGGGGACAGGGGTTTGATCCCTGGTCCGGGAATATCCCACATGCCACAGAGCAACTAAGCCTGTGCACCACAACTACTGAGGCTGCGCTCTAGAGCCCGCAAGCCATAACTACTAAGCCCGCATGGCACAACTACTGAAGCCCACGCGCCTAGAGCCTGTGTTCCTCAAGAAGAGGCCACCGCAATGAGAAGATTTCAAAAATCACTACAATGAGAAGACCATACACGCCGCAACCAGAGAAAGCCCGTGCGCAGCAACGAAGACCCAACGCAGCCAAAAAATAAATTAAATTAAATTAAATTAAAGATAACCCAAACACACCTACTAAAAAATGGGCAAAGGGGTTGAATAGACATTTCTCCAAAGAAAACACACAAATAGTCAACAATCATATTAAAGATGCTCAAGTTCATTAGTCATTAGGAAAATGCAAATCAAACCAACAATGAGATACTAGTTCATATCCACTGTAAAGGATTTTCTTTACAAAATAAAGAGAAAATAAAGGTTGGTGAGAATGTGGGGAAACTGGAATCCTTGTGCATTGCTGATGGGTAAGTAAAATGGTGCAGGTGCTGTGAACAA